GGTTTTGGAAAAGGAATCGAACCCTTAACTTAAAGAATGAATCCCAAATACATATTATCAGACTAACCTAACATGTTTTCGGAAAGGATTTGAGCCCTTAACTTATAGAATGAATCTCGAATCCATATCATTAGACTAACCAATTAGGTGTGCTTAAGGTATGAATTCATTTAATTTCATTTTTCTTTTTGTACCTCACAACATATACTAAAGCATTTATTTAAGTTCCTTCTGTTTTCCTTTGCTTGTGATGTTATTGTTGTTGTTGTTGATGATGATGATGATGACGAAGATGATGATGTATTACCATGAGAGGAGTTTTATGTGGATGAGGAGCAGATCCAGCCATGCGGAATTCGTGCATGATCCAGTTGGTCTTTCTTCCCTTGGGTGCTCTGCCTTGGTAGAAGACCAGAGTCTTCCTCATGCCAACAAGCACACCTCTCCGGCTCACAGTCCGATCTTTCCCCGTCGCCTTCCAGTAGCCCGACCGGGTTGCGCGGTTGGTCCGCTGCCCCGTCGCATACTTCCGGTCCCGGAGGTTGAAGAAGTACCACTCCCTGCCGCCCACGCATGCCATCTCTGTCCCACAAAACATAGAGACTAGTTGCAGGCATCAAGCAAACAACAAGCATCAGCAATGTGTTGTTGATCTTTCTCGGCTTCTGCTTGGCTATAGGAAATCTAGCTTCCCAGTGTGTTAGGGTTTTGGTGGAGCAGGTTGAGATAAGCATCATGTATCCACCTTGGTTTGCCATGATCATTACAGTTTGGAAGGAGTAAGCTTGATTTTAAGATGTGATCACTCAAAGTATTTGTTTAGTCTATTATTGAAGATCTCATGAAAAATCTATTATATATTGGAAGGATCTGAGAGAGCGAGAAGAGACATAACCAAGAAAGAAACAAAGCCACACAAGACGCACCAACGCATCGATTTCCACATGACAAACAAGGCTCCATTGTCGAGCATTTCCTTTTCTTTTGGTATCTATCTCACAAAGCTGTTTTGCTTTCTTCAGACTCTTACAAATATGTTCTGCACATCTTCATGGCAGCATCTCAAGAACTTGCATGCATTTGACGGAGAGAGGCACGTTGAGTTTTCCATCATCATCTCAAGGTTGATGCCTAAAAGGGTTGCTGAAAGGAGATCGTTCATATGAAGTTGGGAGGTCATCGGCATGTATCGTTTAAGATACATGAAGAGGTAATAAGCAAAGACCAAGATTCCAAAGTTGCTGCTCAAAGGATTGTGACCAGCAATAATTCACATGAAGGTGGGAGCCCACTTTAGGTACTTGGAAGGGATATAAGAAGATGTCACACCTCGATTGTACATTAAATGTTTGGCAGTGATCTCTAATGATCTTAATTTGGACGCATGAAGCAACGATTAAGGTTGTCAGATATCTACAGCAAGTAGCTCATGCACCGGGAACTAAAAATCTAGTTTCTGGTGGAGATAATCTCAGTAGTGTGATCTAAGAAAGAAAAAGGGTAAAGCAGACAGAATCGTAGCTGTTCATTTACGCACGGAATCAAAATCAAAGCCGGAAAGGGGAAAAGAACACATACTCTCCAGGAAGAGAACCCTAAGTTTCTGCAGAGCAGAGAGACATGAAGGAGGATATATCCTTCAGGCAACCATATGTTGTGTGTCTATAGCTACAGGAAGAGTAGTCGAGGGTTGTGGTGTGGTACCAGGAAGGTGCCATGGCTCGCACTTGTTGAGGTCGACGTGGATCATCATGTGGCAGCCATACAAGCCGCCACCGTCGTCGCCGGCGACCTTCTTCATGAGGTAGTCGCACACCAGCTCCTCGTCCCGCGGGTGGAACCTGAACCCCGGCGGCAGCCTCGCCTCCATCATGCTCAAGTGGCTCATGGTGATGGACATGGGAGATGGATAAGAGAGAGAGAGAGATGAATAATAAGGAGAAGAAAACAACAAAAGGAAGGCGAGAAAGCGGACTTTAAATACTGTTGTTGTTGGGGTCTTCACGTATGGAAGATAACCACCAAATCACTCGTGCTCTAATTAGCATCTCGATTACATACGACAACTACAAATACAATGAGATTGCTCTCTTTTACTATTTCATGTAATATTTACGTGACGGAAACGATCTCTTTGAATGTTAGATGACAAAACTATACATACTAATTCTCCTCCGAACCCCAACCCGACGATAAGAAAAGCCCTTAAGCATTTAATTATCTGTGGGCCCACCCTAATGTTTCTTATCCATCATGCATTTGGCCAAGTCAACATTTCATTTTGTTTTTCCTTCTTACAAATAACAAAGCATTAAACATATAATATTTCGAACTCTTAATCTTTACTAAGTCATATACAGTTTCACCTACCAATAATACTTCAGATTACGAATCATCAACTTTTGATAAATGAATCTATATTAATTGAAGTAATTCATAAATAATTCGGTATATTATCATTAAAAATGAATTGGAAGATGTTTGGAATCATTATCCTTGTAGGTGGGTCAAGCACACCAAACAGTCTGGTGAGTGGATGAAACATGTTATGGTGAAAGAGCAGAGTCTCGATAATGTAAATTAAGTGGCAATACTGTGCAGTGATGGGAGAGTCACCTGAGCTTGCCTTCCGTTGGCGACATGGAGAGCAGAAGCTTGTGACCTGGTCTTCGATTTACGTGCTCCGCCCTCCCTCTTTCCTTTTGTTTCACGTAGGATGGTTGCCTATTTGGTCTAGGCTACTGCACCTGACGTCGACCGCGCAGGTGGCGCCAAAACCTGCACCGTCGGTCATCAACGCCAATCCACCGAGCCTCCTCATCGCCGCCGTCCGAACACCAGCGGACGTCCACGACGAGAAGGTGATCAGGGTGAGGAGAGAGAGAGAGAGAGAGTACCGCTGCTTGAGTACGACAAGCTCGTCGTGGGTACATGGTCGCTTGAGTGCACACTTTTTCATACAAGAACAGGAGGTGACATGCCCACCACCCGGGGATGTCTACTCCGAGACGTGTGATGGCGGGCGCTGCCCTCGCCCCGCCCCGGCCCCCTTCGCCTTCCGATAGCTGTGTGCGCTCCTTGTCATCGCTCGTGAAGATGACGAGGGGACGGTGGGGATAAGCTCTCCGGTCGATCCAACATGTGCGTTGGGTGGATGACGCAATGAGACCATAAGGCATGGGCGGTCACCATCGGACAGGCGGTGGGATCCGGTGTTCCCGAAACGGATGGCTTTTCACGGTCGAAGGATAGACGGCGGAGGAGAGCTTTGTGTGTTGCTGGTGCAGATGGAGGTTAAATCTACTGGAATTGTTTCTCTAAAGATCAAATCATGTCGTTTACCTTATGGAATACTTGTGCATGGCTGTTGGAGCTTCACGACACGTTCTCATCTTTACTCCATCCAAATGCACACGCATTAATCCACCTGCCATTGCTACTTTCTCCAGCTTCTGCTGCCTCCCTGGGAAAGATGATCGATTGCTTGTTAAAGTGTCAGTGATGGACCTCATGCTCTCCACGAGGAGAACAAAAATAAGGAGGAGAACTAATGCAGTTGCTGTGAAGATGCAAGATTCAGATGTTCTTGGTATTGACTTTGTGGCTCTGACTTTGAGGACTGCACTCGTGAGCATGAAAGTGTAGACTTCAACAACACAGATGGCAGATGCAGTGCTGAACAAGCCAAGCATCAAAGAATAAATGCATGATGATACCTACCGTATGAGTTTTACCTTACATCTATCTATCTTTGGCTGATTCCACGAGATGCAATAAAGCAAGTGCTTCGTCAAACATCTGTACTCTTCAAGTGTTTGCTGCCTTCATGGAACTCGAAGAACGATGACCTAAGAAGAAGAAGAAGAAGAAGAAGAGTCGTAGTAGTTAGGTTATCAGTGAGTGCAAACAAGACTGTCTCTTTCATCCCCAACGTAATGAAAGTTTGGATAAACCTGTTGTTGGGTCCAAGCTTCCATTGCCACCAGTAAGATAAAACCTGGAAGAGATGTGAGATGTGATTCCAGCTGGTAATATCAATAGAGCCTATAGATAAGCACTGGGTTCCTGCAAAAGCAAAAATGTCCAAGGAAGAAAAAGTTCCTATAGTATATGACAGACTGGATGCAATGAACAATCATAATAATGGACATTTCTTGAAGGATAAAGGTTACTTTGTGGATGAAGGTTACATAGGATGTGACTCAACAACAACGACAACAGCTTTAAATTAATGTGTTCTACATGGTCACCAAGTATATTTGAAGTTCAACATCATAAGAGGTCCAAAACAACTATTTCTATTATCAGAGGTTGTTTATAAGGAATTTATAGTTTTGGAATATGGTAAACGGAAGCTGTATATAAAACACAAACACTTGGTATAAAAGATCAGTGAAAAGGATTCGAGAAAATCCACATGAATAGCAACTCTTCCAATGATTTTAAAATGACAACTTGGCAATTAGAGACTGCAGTTTCAAGCTGAAAGGTCAACACATGAAGTTCCAATAAGGAGTCAAGTACTCTGGATGACATCTTGCTGTCATTTCATCAGTCCAAGATGTAACTTATTAGCACTGTTTGCGAAAGAGAACAAGACATCTTGCTGGTTGCAATAGGTTTGTTAGAGCATGCATACCTGCTGTTCTCAAAAGACTTCAAGAACACCAGGAATATTAGATTATATTTGTATCCAGAGGCTTTCAATATAGAAGAAAGCTGCAAAAAAGACATGTTTGATTAGCATAAAAATTCAAGGAAATGACAGAAGAAATCTGATTGATTGTTTTACAGTTCAACTGCACCTTAAATTTATCAAGTAAGAAAGGTGATCACAAGCTGCCTATTCCTTAATCAAAGTCTTTTTGTCCTTTGTTTCCAGAATGTGTCCAAGACTGAGCCAACTTGTAGAAATTTGTGGCCACCTGAATTCATATGAAGAGACCCTCAGTATACACCATACTGCTACTACAACAATTTCAGGCGATCTCCATTCAAATGATGTAGAAGAATTGGCAAAGCATTTGACTAGATGGAGTGGGTGGAGGCAGGAAAAACTATGATGGATCCACTTCAACAGTTGAAACTGTTGGGGATGCACAAAAGTACAACATCATATCAGACAAGCAAATAGGCACTGATGAGGTCCAAGAAGCAAAATATTTGTTGTTCATAAGTCTGCATCTTTTGGCATTTTATTCAGCAAGAAAATGCTACACCAGAACTTGAAAGTAAGAAGCATAAGACTCTCATGATGTATTGGTTTCTTCTATATGAAGCTGACTGGGAAAATATCAGGATCAACTAGTCACGAAGCAGAAGGACATCAGAACCAGTTCACAATATGTGTCGCATGCATTTTTAGCAACCAAACTGAAGAAAACAGTAGAACACAACATACAGAGTGATGGTGGGAGGTTCTCCAAAAATGCTCCTATATTACAAAAGGAGTCTAGGACAGTATTAAGGCAGCTTTAAAACACTGAACCATGCATTCCAGAGACCAGACACCAAAAAACAACAGTTTGGAAGAATTGAGATCGAAGATGAAATGCATTTTTAGACTTTCTCTCTCTAGAAAGAACTGGATGGCTAATCAGTTGAATCTTGATTCATCACAATCAGATCAGAGAAGGATCTTGTGTTTGATTCAGCAGAGAAGAAGATAATAGTTGGAACATGAAAGAAGAACCAGGTATTATAGTGGGTTTGCTTATGGTGACTGTTCTAATACATATCCATGTAAGTAGTATCAGTGAGAAGATTTTTCTCCTTTTCTTCATTTTACTATCCAATATTGTCATTGATGTTCTGTTTCAAGACCATGTGAAGCTTAAAAGCTAGTGGACTTACTGTTGATCAACTCTGCCTCTACCACACCACTTCACTGATGGATAGCCCAGTGACAGTGCCAAGAGGATACGAAAGCCTGAGAAAGAGTCAACTCTACCCTGACGAAAGACCAACATGCACAGAATAAAAAAAGAATGGTGTTAATACTACAGAAACAAAACTTGGCATGAGAATGTAAGGTTGACATTAGTAGAAGACACAGAGAACAAAAACATTACTAATGAAGCTCAACACCAAGGGTCTGGAGGAAAAATTACTCCTGGCAGAATCATGGTGACATATAAGGATCTTCAGCATTTAGGGGACACCAATTAGCAAAGTTTACAGAGTTGGACTTTACAATGAATTTTCAAGATGAGCATATTTGGAAATCTAGGGATAAAATGGCATGACTTTGTTGTTGTTTCCTGCACCAGTTATGCAGCCTTAATATTTTGAGCTATACTAAATGACATTGCTCACTTAACTAGCAATGTTATTTCAGCTGATTGACAAGAATCAAAGTTCTTCAACTCAAATACTGACAAACCCACATCTAAGCCAATTCAGTAGACACCAAAACTTCTTAGCAATCTCATGTCCTGTTGTTGGAGATTCAGCAAGCCTGGACATGCTGATTATTCTTCATTATCCTCATCCACAGACTCACAGAACACAGAATGCAACTAGTTCTGCATAGAGACTTTAAACAAATCACCTGGTTCCCAGTGGCTGCAGTGACAGTCCTTTCACGAAGCCACAGGTCTAAAAATCACTGCTCACCCTCATTCCTCTTGTTGGAATGAGAGAGGCTCACAGAGTTCCCAGCCAGACACAGAACAATACTTTTGAACCATGGATCTCGAGGAAGAGACATGTGACCAAGTGATTAGAAAGCCATGCTCAATGGCCTGAAAGCTTTAGATTGTTCCCCCCCCCAACTCTAGCAGCTGAGAGGGGGGTTCAAAGTTCAAAAAATTGCCATCACCACCACCACACAAGCACATGGGTGTAGAGAAGTGGCAGCATTAGATGGGCAGAGCTTCATCCAAAAGGGAAGAAAGAAAAGGATTCATCATCCTCTCCCTCCTCCAAAAGGCACATACTGTCAGCTTTGAGTAGATGCCTTCACTGTTGGTTTCCTGTGTTGGTTGCGGCCATGAGTATTGCCCACTGGACTCCTTTGGATGCTAGCTAAGTGCCAAACTTGGCGATGCTCAAAGTAGTGAGGAGTCTATTTCTGCATGTGAGAATGATTCATTCATATGGTGAGGAGTAGGTTGCTCCTGACACCACCACACTGTTTGAGCTGTGGTCAGACCAACTTGTATGAACTCTCAGTAGCAAACAAGGATTGCAAAAGCTCATCGGTGAGGGAGACAATGATGAAATTGAATTCTCAGTAGTTGAACTCCCACAAATATAATCAGAAAAAAGACATCAGCTTTCTGAAATCTAATCATGCAACGACAAATTCCATGTTCCGTATGAACAAGTTTTTACTGGTGACTGAACATGGGATTGCTGTTGCTGATAAAACTTCCCAGAACAAGTAGTAGTGATTTGACTTATGGAACCAAATGCAAACAGTCATAAGCGTGGGGGGAAATAATGATGCCAAAGACTAGCAAACTTTATATAGGTGAACTAAACAACATATCATGAGATAATGATATCACTATATATTTTCAGAAGCTTAAACAAATGATGATCCTCTAAAAAGTGGAGAAAGATTTATGCATTTGATCATTTTCTTCAGACTTTTTCTTTTACTCCTTTCTACCTACTTGAAAGCTTAAGATCAATTGTGAAACAATATAAATTTATGGAAAAAAGAAAAAGGAGAAAAAAAAATCTTCTATATTTTAAGGGTCAAAATTGCCCACTTGGGAAGCACCCCCCCTCGTGACACGTGTCGGAGCTGGCCATGCAGTGGTCCGAATAAGCGTCTCGTGGTCCTCAAGGAGCCAACAAAGAATCGCCTGGTCTTAGAAGATAATTTGGTCACTAGCTCAGAGACAGCCCCATATACCCCTTCCTACTTCGATGTACCTAGACGAACGATGGGGGTGTAATAGTCATTTTATCTCTCTATATTTGGTCAACTTTCTCCACGAATTAACCCAGCCGTCGATTCCTAATCTGTGGTAAATGGACGGAGTGTATGAACAAAGGCCTGGTGGTCCCCGGTCATCGATGGTCACGGGGACACGCTGCAGGAATCTTGACTGCCACGTAAAATTAATATTTGCCAACTTACCGACACATTTTACGCAGTTTGATTGAGCCAATCGATCACGGGTGGGTCCAGTGCCGGCGTCCACTCTTTTGCAAGGCGGGTTACCGAGTGGGTAGAATGCAAGCCGATAAATACGATCTGGGTCTTCGCCCGCACCAAAAATGATGCGAGCAAGGGACGGCTGATCCCTCGCATGTCGCCATCTGGTTCGTCCTCATTCTGGACCGGACCGGCCCAAACACGAACCGTGTTCATATAAGTAAATGGAGACCCGGGAGTGGTTGAAGGCCAAACCTGTCTCTCTTCGCTGTTTAATGGTATGAGATGGTGGCCTCCGCCTTGGTCACCGATGTCGCCCTCCCTCCGGCGTTCTCCGCCTTCTGCCGCCTCGGCCCCAGGATCTCCCTCGGAAGCGACCTAATCGCTGCCGCTGATGACGACAAGGCTGATGAACCGGGCAGGGAGGGACCTGACGGGGATGAATCTGGTGGCGACTTCGTCGACTTCGAGTTCCGACTGCATGATCCCGTTGCCATGCTCCCCGCCGACGAGCTGTTTGTCGATGGGAAGCTGGTGCCTCTCCAAATGGCGGTGGCGAAGCCGGTGGCGTTGCGTTCCGCTGCCGAGATCCCCTCGCCGGAGCGAGCGAAGACGCTGCGAATGGCCGAGGATTCCGGATCGGACCCCTACGCCTTCTCTCCCCGAGCGCCGAGCTGCACCAGCCGGTGGCGGGAGCTGCTCGGCCTCAAGAGAGCGGCGACGCCGAAGCCCGATCCGGTGAAGGTTTCTCCTGCCCTCGCCGCCGCCAAATCCAAGAACCCTAACCCTGACGCCAGGTCCCTTAAGCATTTGTTTCACCGGAATCTCAAAATGTCCCCGCTCGAGGCGTCGCTAAGCCTTCCTCTTCTCCACAACACCAAGTCGGACTCCGTTTCGATCTCCTCCCGCGGCCCTGACCACGAGGACCCCCCCCGGCTCTCTCTTGACTCGGACAAACCCAGCCACCACATCCCGACGGTCCGGTTGGTCCGGCCACTTCCGGCTGTGGCGGAACCAGGCCGGAGCCGGATCAGACGGACAGCGTCGTCGGAGATAACGCCGCCGCCGATTGTGCCGGTGGACAGTCCTAGGATGAACCCGTCGGGGAAGGTTGTGTTCCACGGGCTGGAGCGGAGCTCAAGCAGCCCGGGGAGCTTCACGGGCGGTCCGAGGCCGCGGGCGCGGGGGATGGAGCGGTCCTACTCCGCCACCGTCGTCCGGGTGACCCCGGTGCTCAACGTCCCGGTCTGCTCCCTCCGCGGCTCGGGAAGGGCCTGCCCGGCCTTCGGGTTCGGCCAGCTGTTCTCGCCGCAGAAGCAGGAGAAGCCTGTCCGGGGCTCGTCTGCGACTCGCAGCGAGAAAACCACGAACCAGAGGGATTAGGTAACACATCCTCGCCTCCCTCTTCATCGAAGGCTAACGCCAATTTCATTGACCGTTTGTTTTCCTCCTCCAAGTCGGTTCTCTGTTCCATTTTTTCCCTCCAAAACCTTTGTGGGGTTGGGGGATGTGCTCCTGTCAGCGCAACCGTCCTCTTTGAGCTATCGTGCGCCGGAACACGGGTTTAACGAAATGGTTGGTGGCGCCGTCCTCCGCCGCCGTACGCTTGTGTGTACCCCCTTGTGATGTGCGCTGCCTTCCAAGCCACACTGCCATGGATGACTCTAAAATGTTCTACAATTCGATGATGATTTATACGATTATTTTTAGATCCTTTGATGAGTTGTATATTTGGGGAACGAGCGTCATTCAACAAGTGAAGTTCAACACAACAGTCGTTTGCATAAGATGGGTGTAGAGTACACAGAATTCTGTTCCTGACATGCAGGTTTTGTTGCTATTTTGCACTACCTGTAACACAAATGCATTGGATTAGTCTTGGAATGGAACTTTGATTACGAGCACCAAAATGAACACAAACTGATGAAGCCATAGTTAAAGCTAATTCTTAATTTTGTATTAATCAGAAATCTAAATTTTATTCGACTGTTCTATAAAATGTAAGAGTAGAAACACAATGGTGAACTATGGCAAATCACCACTATGTGAAACTTGTCATGGGGGCCAACCTGAGATTAAGAGCACCTTTCTACTTGAAACTGATGCAGCAAACATTTAGGTTGACCGAAAAAATATAGGTTTGAGCTTCTCATGTACTTGCACAAGTTCCTCATTAAGCTAATGGATTTATTTCAAGTACAAACATCTACAAACACATGAGAACGGCAAATGTGAAACTCCCATCTAGAAACTACACAAATGAATGAGATATGCAGCCTTTTCCGATAAAGCATGGTAAGGTTTGAAGTGAGTCGATGTGTCAGTAGCAGCAACAAGGATTCCGGAAGATGTGTGCTATAATAGCCGATGAGCAATTGCATCCAATTTGGTCACGATGTACTCAGCAATTAGCTATAATGATCCTTTGAATGACTTATCTCAAGATTCAAGAAACAATAGGCGCAGAGTAATGAACTAGAAAATGCCAAAGAAAAAGGGGAAGCTGCTCTCATGTAAATCAAACAAGTAATGGATTGAAACTAAACTGTTGCACTTTTAAGATTAAAACAAACCAGTTTAAAGCTTTTGCTCAATCATGAGATAACTAGAGGGGCGAAGAAAGGACGAAAAATCTTTTGGATAGTAGATAATGAAAAAGCACAGCATTAAAGATGACAAAGTTTGAGCCCTGTACGACATACATCACTTTACTCTTAACAATAAGTAGCTATCATCTGTGAAAACAAATGCAGCTACACTATTTATACAAAGAATAATAACCTACACGAATGAGACATCAAAGAAACATAATCAAAATTTAGAATGTCGATCAAAGAAATCAAAGTACCTGAATTGCAAGTCAATAATGAAGTGACTGCTCTGTCAATTGATGGTTATCTATAAAGAGAAATTTTAACCCTCAATCAGCAGATATATGATCATCAGAACATTGTTGTGAAGCACACTAACTCTGGAGGATGTACGTAAGGTCAAGCTATACCAGTGGGTAAGCCAGTAGAAAGCATTTGGTCCATGTTATCAATGCGCCTCTGAATCGATTTCAAAAGTAAGTTCAGCGCTGAAACCCTTTTGCAGAGAGAGGAGATTTTGGCAGCATATTGCATAATGAACGGCAAAGGTGCATCTTCTAACAATATGTCTAGTTCTGCAACAAGCAATATATACAAGTTAGTTTAAGCATAAAAAAACATATGGATCAGTTTAAAGCGAAACTAAGGCCGGCAAGCATATTAACTTGGCAACAGACACCCATTGAAAGAATTCCATGATCTCAAATGACTCTTATAAGTATATGTTGAGACAGTATTTAGAAAACAAAAGGGTTGGTCCCTTGATCAATTTGTTTTCAAATTGTCTTGAACCAGGTTACACTAAATTGCCTGGTACTTTTTTTATAATATGCAACTCGCTGAATTTGCCATCTTAAATCAAATCACCGAAAAGGTGTCAAAAACCGGTGGTGTAACAGCCTGATACATGCCTAGGAATACCTGTTTAGATTTGACAAGGAAAACTTTTACAAATTAGTTTTTCTAAGAAAAAATAATACCTCTTGCATTAAACAGTGAAAGAGTTACAAAAAGTAAAAAAATTAAAAATAACCAAGACACAGAAAAATTAAAAAATGAGACCCAGCATATAACATTTTAAAGAATTCAGTCAAGTCATTCCCTGCCTGTAAGTTTCTAAAAAGTAGCTAAATCTGTACAGGAGATCTAAGTACCATATAGCACATATGTAACAACAATTGCTGTTATTACTAACATATTCAAAACAATACATAATTGATACCGAGAGAACTTTATATAATGAAGTTCTAATAATACATAGATAAAATATATATTATTGTCATATCAAGAACTTGGAGGATACTTTTGATACTCACTTCAGAAGCTGTTAAAAAAATGATAAAAAGAGCTAGTACTTGGGTGGTGAATTTTGCATCAAAAACCATTTGTTATAACATAATAAGAATAGTTTAACCAAAAATAAAAGCAAAGAGAATAACATGTTAGTCTCATTTGCAATTTCCATATTCGTGCCTATTAAATTGCGCATCCAATAATAATATGCACAGGCCTTATGCAAAGTGGTTGAAGAACTGCATCCACATACCTGGTCGCATGCTGACCGCTTTTTGGACAAAGTGAATAAGAAAAAGGAGTACTTGAGGCAATCAGTATATCATATTATACAAGTCATAGATTTCAATAAAGGAATGCACAAAAAGAGCAACCTAAACAGGATTCTTCTTTCGCTGCTGAACCAGATGAAAATGGATAACCGAATTTAGGGCATATGCCATGGAAATATGCCCATTAGTTGATATGTGAAGTTGTGCTCAGTCAAAATCTACCCAGTAAATGTCAAAGCTTCGATGCTAAGATCAAATACAAGGACATAACTGCCTATCAAAAATGCAAGCCTGAAAGCTCACAAGCACAACTATATCCTTAGGCATATTTGCCATCAAAGATTTCTTAAAGAGTACAGAGCAAAGAACAACATTTAATTCCTTATGTCATACATTTAGATGATGTGATAGAAGAAAAAGAGGTGATGTACTCTGCAAATGAAAATTCATTAACAAGTGCCTCGACAGAAATCAATAACCATATAGAATTCACGAAAGCAGAGCTGGAATTCTAACTCCGATCTAGAAGACCATCAAAAGATTCGTTAAATTTGATGTAAACCCTCAAATTTTGCTTCAATTTTGACTAAGAGAAATAAAAGGCGGATGTCAATTTCCCCCAACAAAAAAGAGGCCAAGGAAAACTTGATAAAAGCTGATAAATTGCCTTAAAGAAGACCCCAAACCCCAAATAATATCAGAATCAATGGGTTCTACCTCCTGTGAGGCGATCTAGAGAAAGGGAGAGCTCGTCCTGGCTCCGGGCGGTACCCTCCGCTCTGGAATCGAACTCCCTCATCACGACCCCCAGCGTCGAAGCGATCGCCCGTGCCAGGGCGTCCCACCCCTCGTGGCCGGCAGCAGGTCCCTCGGCGCCATTCACCCCGCCACCTCCACTGGCGGAAGGCTCGGACGAGGCCCTGGAGGTTGCCGGGATATCGCCGTCGTCCATGGTGGTTCAGCCCCTTCTGCCTGCTTCCTTTCGATGGATTGCGTTCTCGCGCTCCCTGTGATTTAACCGGGTCCGATTTCGATCGACTCGTACCCGATGCCAATCCGAACCGAGCTCTCTTGTGGTTCAACTAACCGTTCCTCTTGAAAATTCCGTTCCGACTACCCGAGATGTCATGAGAACTAATGAAAGCATAAATCGTTAATATTCAATCAAATATTATATATCAAACTTTCACATGCAACAATCAAAAGACGGTGAGCATGCTATAACATCTCTCATTTAATCTCAGAATTGAATTGATTTATAAGTTTGATTCGAAAGTGACAGAAGAACTGAATTGGTTGAGTCGAACCAGTACACTACTTTCGATCACAGACATAATCGTAATGATTCTAACAAATTTGATAAATCTACAACCGTATGATGTAAAATATTTAAATCTAAATTAATGATAGTATATCCATCAGATTTTATATTCTCCCATTTTTCTCACAAGAATTCGAAAGCCATTCACACATTCACAGATGATAATTTTGAGAATGCAGCTGTGGTAACATAATAAAGGTGGATGAAGCCAAGTGCAGATTGAGAGGACAATAAAGCCTCCTGATTCAAAAGGGCAATACATTAGTTGAAAGTCACAGAGTGAACCAGAACAATGGTGCCATTACAAGGGGTTAGAAGGATATACAAGATCAATGGACCAAGTGAAGAGGATGTCACACTTAACCGGCTTGTTTTTGGCAATAGATCATTCATTTGCAGTGTCCGTTGCACTGCCGATGAGCTACTACCCCGTTGCTGTGGCCCTCACTGGTGGGCTTCAGATCAACTTTCTTGCTTAGTCCCCATACGCGGATAGTGTGGTCATCACTGGCGGAGGCGAGCATGTGAGGGTTGGACGGATTCCAGCTCACGCAGTTGACAGCGCCGGAATGTCCAGGAAGAGCCTCAACAAGATCTCCGCTGCCACGATGCCATATGTACACCTGACCACAATAGATTTATCCCATCAAGTAACTGGCACATCAATAGAAGACCATGATTAAAAAAAATTCATATGATCATGTATTAAGAGAAAAGTAGGTTATATTTTTCTTGAGCCGGTCAAGAATTTCAAGCAAATTACTGAAACTTCAAGTAAATTCTCTGGTAGAGTAGACAGACCCTTGTACTGAATGCAAACATTAAAATACACCAATACAGAACTAGAAACACTAGTAGCCAAGACTTGTAATTTCTTTTGACCATGTGGAACAAAATTCAACTCTTACAACTCTGACAATCTTTCCGTCATCTGCCTCTCCACAAAACCACTTGACCACTCTTTTCCTTCACAAGTTAACTATGCACCTTACAATCTAGTCTCTAAGAGGTTAACTAGCATCACATCTACAACTACCCAGGCCTGAACTGAACCATGGCTTCCAGTACCAACTTTTCTTACCGGGAGCACAAACACCAGGATTAAAAAGGAAAAATTATCTAAAACCAATTTCACAATAGTAACCCCTCTTGTACATTCGGATATGCTAAGCATACCCGTTTTCTGTTGTCACAAAAAAATCCAAAAAATATTCAGGGGGGAGGAAACAAGAACCGACTGTAACATCTTACTAAAATACAAATGAGGGATGGAATCTTTTCAGAAACAAGAATAAAGTGCATGCATTAAGTGAAGGGGTAATCCCAGACATGCTACATTCCAGGTTATCTAGCAGAAAAGAGAATTCCTGAGAGTAATGCACTAACAACCCACATAATAAAGTCAAAATGAGACAAATTGTACATGGAGATGTAATCGCACAGATAGATTAATTTACTTATCAATACCAATAGGTGGAAAAGACTGAGGAAAGCATATCCATATGATTTTCAGTAAAAATTGTACCTGTGAATCTTCACTTCCGCTGGCAATGAAAGCCTGTTTAATGCCCCCAAAACAGGACCTTATTAGATATCGGCTCCGTCTATGACCTTTGTATCTCGTAATGAGTCTGGGATCATCTTTTATGCACCATAAGTGAATCTCCTGGTTTATCAAGTTTACAAGTAAAAAATTATCATCGCCTGATAGTGTAAAAGAAGTAATAGGCTGTTCCTCTTCTACTAGCTTCTCCATCTTCATTTCCCTATCTAGCAACATAATCACATTTCCCTTGCACGTGTTTATAATATGTCGACCATCTTTCGTGATGGAGATGTCAGAGGTCATACTGGTTCGCAGGCCATTCCAGGAGTCAATTTCTTTACCATCCAAGTCCCAGATGCAGATACTCTTATCTGTAACACCAGAAAATAATCGTTTTCCATCTGGGAACCAACCGCAAGAAATCAGTCCAAGACCAGTTTTTTCATAGACTTGGAGGCATTCTCCTGAGTGAACATCCCAGCGTCTTACAACTTCTTCCATTCCACATGTGAGAAGCTGGCTGTCATCAGGGCTCCAAGCAATCATCAAGACAGCTTTCTGATGATCAATCAGCTTGTGTTTCAATGACAATCCTTCATCTTCATGAACCTGGATATCAAACGGCATAAAGCTTACACCAGAGCAACAAAAGATTATCAGTTAAGGAAAGGCCTCAACTAATGTTGGCCTAAATTAAACAGATACTTATTCTGTTAAGTTTATAGCTTTTCTAAATTTCTGTTGGCTGCATACGTTGACTCAAATCAAACCACATATTAACAGGAAACTTGGTGCACTCGACTGGCCTACCTTTTAATCTAATGGATTAGTAAGGGGAAACAGTCAAAAGTTGTTACAAATTTAGATAATTTAAAGTTAACTTAAAATCTAATAGACTTCATATTTTTATCATTCTCCCCTTTTTTTTATTTTCATTATGGTATCCAAAAGATATGTTTAGAATTAACCACTTGGCAGTAGTCATTTTATTTATTTCTATTGCTCCTATAGCTAATTCTAGTATGATACTTAGATGTACTTGTCATATCTCATAGACATCTCATGTTTTATTGTCAACAACTTATTATACTAGACATTTCAATCCAATCTGTGCACAATCTGATTCCTGCATCTGCATCCGTACAATACTGGAACATATTTAACATGAAAGATAGTGAGAAAAAAATTAGTGCTCTGCACTGCAGAAAGGTAGCAACTGAGCTCTGTAAGGCTCAACCTTTTCAATAGGAAAACCAAGGTCCATCATAACTCATGCTCATCCAAAAAATTATCGAACAAGTGTTAATAAGCTTGCAAACCAAGGGAATAATAGATAATGGTAATTCAGGTCCAATGATATACCTCCCATATAATAGCAGATTTATCATTTGATGATGACGCTAAATATTTTCCGTGGTTTGAGAACTGTAAAAACCATACTTCATCATGGTGTTCTTGCAACACCTGTTGAACATAGATAGAGCAATTTTCAAATATAAGATGTATTGTTATTAAATACCACAAGAATCATAATAGCACCAAGCAACAATATATAATCTATTTTTTCAATCTGAAGATCTAACACTCTCTTTTCTCTCCCTTTTTCTTTAAGATTTGCCAACATAAATTGGCTCTATTCTGCTGCTCTATGCTTAGCCTTGCTCCTTAACCAGTGAAAGTTACTTTTTTGTAGCATACCAAACTCATAAAAAACACAAAAAAATGGGCAAAACTCATAATTCAACAACTGTTGAATGTCAATGCTCAGATTACAGAAACCTGCAAATCCACCAAGTATAATTCAACCTTGCAGAGAGTCCACGATTCAAAATCCTCAATTATCTCATTTCTTCTTGAAATGAACTCTAGAAACCACGGAAATTAATTTAAACTGAAGTTTTAGATTTTTTATTTTTATGAATGACTACACCTTTGGTGTTACTCATATCTTATATGTGACTGTCTATAGTTCCTATTTGGTGTTGGCCACAAAAAAATGTCAGTGACTTTCCAAAATCAGAGTTCAAGACGAAAGGTCAACATATCTCAAGATAAGCAAGCAAAGTTCCAAGTATCTTTTAATGTATGATCGAAAAGTTCATCCTCCTACACAACACACATCTACATATGGTAGCTCAGTATTTAAGATGCAATATCACATCGTTTCCTAGCTTCCATCTTCCCATCCTTACTAATTTGGTCATTTTCCTCAATTAAATATCTGTATTTATTGCAATTTTCTGCAGTATTTAAACCAATTTACCAGATAAACCATAGATTGGCGTGGATGAGAATGATACAATTTAAGGATATGGTGAATGCCAAACCTGAGCGGTATAAGAAGGTAACTGATCCTTGCCACAATTATGATCAGCATACAATGAGAGGGAACTATCAAGAGAGTTGTGGAAATAACAAGATTCCCTTTGCAAACCAAGTGCCTGTTCAACCAAATGCTCCAACCTCCTCTCAGGTATCATCACTGTTGGAGGAAGCAGTTTCTGCAATTCCTCTAGAAGCTTTAGTCCAGGATTTGAAGTTTCAGTTCCAAGATTGGCAAACCTAAGTAAAACATGATGTGAAGGAGAGACAATACAGCTAGCAAGCTCGTGCACCCGCTTTTTGTTGATGCCAAGAGGAGTAATTTCACATCTCAATGTCTTCAATGCATCCATGAAATCATTAGTCTCCAACAGTTCAAAGTACTTTTGCTCCAATATCAAAAATGAAGAATATTTCAGTAAATTTTCATCCACAAGACCTATTTTGTGCAATGTCTCCAAACTTCCATCCCAATTTCCATCAAGCACTTGTTTCCTGAAAAGATTGACCACTGATGAGTGCAAGGAAATCCCAGACTCCTCCTCCAGGATTGCTCCACTCTTTTCATATCCAAGAGAATATAAGGTCTTGGTGATGATTCTGACAAACTCAGCCCTTTTAATTACACCTTTCGAACCAATCATATCTTGTTCCCCGTGGAATGGCAACGGTTTGGCCATTGGACCTCCCAAACAACCAATGTGTAGCAAAGAAGATGAAGTGTTCAAGAGGCTCCTCAATTCTGCTGAGGATGCTTTCACACGTTTTGCTGGTGGTTCATCATCGTCTAAACCTCCCATGAAATGCCAGAATCAGCCCATATAAAATTCCAGAAAACAAGATACAGCTGCACACAAGACTGATGTAATTGCTTGGAAGTTGATGAACTGGATATGCAAAGACTTCCTACATAGAAGAATTGATATTTGGTTAATTCCCCCCAATGAGATGCAACTAATTCTATCCAATCTTAAGCAGGTAAATGCACTTATCCTTGATAATCTATAAACCAACAAAGGATCTCCCCCAATGAGATGCAACTAATTATATCCAATATCAAGCAGGTAAATGCACTAGTCCTTGATAATCTATATATCAACAAAGGGGGAAAGAAACAAAAGTTAGAGAGAGAGAGAGAGAGAGAGAGAGAGAGAGCAGTTCAGTTCCATAAGAATGAAGAAATCACACGAAACACCAAATCAAATAGTGAGCAAAGGATGAAGTTGGTACAATTCTTGTGTCTTCAGTTTGACAGGTTAGCACAACTAAAATGCTTTAGTCTAGTCTCAATAAACACCTTGGGGACATTTCCTAAACAGCAGGATAACTTGGTAACATGATATCTGCTTGACTAGTTTTACTAGTTCCTACACTAATCAAATTCTGCTTATGTGATTGAATCATGCTCAATTGGAAATCTTATGAGAAATTAGTTGGCGCAACACATTTTCAAGTACAAAGCCAAGAAACGACAGGGGCTAGTAACTTTAATTCATTATTGCCTATCAATAGCAAGTGATTTGAATACCTCCTGCGCATTTTGACAGACCCAATCGAGCACAAAAAGGAGAAAGTCTCAGCCTTAGAATGAAGAATAAGGTCAACAATTGGAAGACTGCAATGTTCTTACATTGATCATATTCAGTTAACCGAAAGATGCACTAACACTAACTTCAAGTCAGATAACTACGAAACAATAAACAGAAACCGGAACGATGTTACAAGATCATGTTGGGTTGAGCACCCAACAAGCAACTTCCCCGTCAAAACAAATTATGCCATCCATACTAGATAAATTCTGAATCCACTTAAGACATTTGTTTGATACTGCAACAGAGTTAAGAATCGCGAGTCCAAAGCACATGATCCAGAACCGGCACATCCAATGGCGGGATTTCACCAAATCCCAAGTCAAGAAACTAGCCACCGACAAGAACCTAAGTACCAAGACAAATAGCAACAGCAAAGAACAGATCGATAACAGAAAAGCTGACCTCCAAATCGATCAAAAGGAACCCCCAAGGTCTGGTGGATCCAAGACCGATGGCTGATCGCCCCAAATCGAGCACCGACCGGGCTCTGCAGCGCGATCAGTTCGGTCCCAAAGCCTCGGATCCCAAAGGGGAAGGGGCTACAGGGACTCCTGCTTTAGTATCTGTAGCTGGATTGATGCCTTGAATTGGCCCTCGAAGAAGAGGAAGAAAGATAAGGAAGAGAGATGTGAGACGAAAGCAAGGAGAGAGAGAGAGAGAGAGAGAGAGAGAGAGAGAGGAGATGGCTTGGGGTGCAGGAAACCGACTCAAATAAAAGAGAGTGCCTTCCGGATCTCTTCTATCTCCTCCTCCTCCTTCCATTTGTTTTCTTTCTTTTTTTTATTTATTTTTTTTACGTTGGTGTACGAGAACTTTAAGATCAACGCAGCGTCTCTCGGTCTCAAGATTCGGAAAACGCCACTGATTTGGCCGGTGACACGGCCCACTGTCGTCGATGGAGCACCTTTCACGGGACACGTAGGCCAGACACACGAGCGCGATAAACGTATTTGCAGATGAGATGTTTGATGAAATGGTGCGCCGGACCAGAGGACGGCGAACAAAGGGATGCAGAGAGTCCTCGTAAGCTTGAATTCCTCAAATCGTCACCATCGACGAGAAGAGCTTCACGATATGGAATGGCACAAGCTAGCTGCAGCCAAATGAATGCAAAGCCAGCTACCAGGTGCTACATTCCAACACGACGTCAACATATTCATCAAGCTTGAGCTTCAACTTCGAGATCAGAAGTCATCTAATAACCAGAAAGTCTGATGTCAATACCTGGATCACGTGCAGGTACCTCAAGTTCAATGGGGGAGACTTTTGGCATGGATGATGTCCATCGATGTCCCTTTCTTGCTTGAGTTCCTCCAAATCATTGCCACTGAGAAACGCAGTCGATGCTGGGAAGAGTTCCTCCAATGGATCGAGAGAGGGACATCCACATATAACATCTCATGCTAGAAAACCAATTCATGCTCCTTGTGTTGCAGAAGGCCTTGGAAATCCAGTGTTCATCTCACAATTTGCTGCTCATCAGATGCTTGAAAGAAGTTTCTCCATTCAAAATGTAGGCATCTATGCAAGTTGAGCAACTCCGCTTCTCCAAGGATCAGAATCCCAAGCCTGCTTGTGGAATCTCAGCTCAAGATGAAATCGCAATGCCGCTGCTGGAAGAGATCGCAATTCCTTCAGAAACCAAATTTCAACATGCAGACTACAACTTCAGTTTAAATGCTGAAGTCACAGTAAGAAACTTCAGTTTCACATCAATTTGCACCATGAACCGATGCTTGTTCCTCAGCATTGACCATCCATAGATCATCGTCTACCATGAACGCACGAACACCATTCTTATTGTCTATCCAGCTGTAACCACGATCCTTCGCCACCCCTCGACCATTCATCAATGCCCTAACAGCAGATGCATCATCCCATCTACCTAGGGAAGCATATATATTGGACAGAAGAACGTATGGTGCCGAGCTTAGGGGGTCAAGCAGGAAAAGCTTCTCTGCGGCACGTTTCGCAAGTGTAGCATTTCCATGAACAGCACATGCACTAAGCAATACCTCCCACAGGACAGGATCATCTATGCATGGCATCTTGTCTACTAAGGCTTCAGCTTCCACAAGGCGACCAGCACGACCAAGAGAATCAATCACACAAGTGTAATGAACAGCAAGTGGCTGGATTCCATGGTCCTTTTCCATTGTATCGAGGATTTTAATTCCCTTGTCAACCATCCCAGCATGACTACATGCAGCAAGAACAGCTATGAAGGTCACACTATTTGGTTTCTCATCTGTTCTCAGCATGTGTTCAAAGAGTTCCACAGCTCTCTTGCCATAGCCATTTTGGGCATATCCATGTATCATCTCATTCCATGAAACAACATTCTTGGTTGGCATGGTATCGAAAAACCTGCGTGCTTCATCTACATTACCACATTTAGCATACATATCAATCAAAGCACTCCCGACATAAACACGGAACTCATAACCATCTTTAGCAGTTTGGGCATGTATCTGTCTTCCCTGAGGCAATGACGACAGTCTAGCGCATGAGCATATCACGCTTGCATAGGAGGATTCGGTGGGGAACATGCCATCTTGACGCATCTGCTTGAATACAGCAAAAGCTTCTCTGTTTTGAGAATGATGTGCAAAGCCAGTTATCATTGCATTCCAACTGACAACATCCCTCTCTGTCATCCTATCGAAGACCAGCCTTGCCACCTTGATATGCCCACATTTTGAGTACATATCCACCAGTCCACTGGCAACAAACACATCAACATGAAGCATGGCTCTTATTGAGGCAGAATGCGCTTGCTTCCCAAAGTCCAGAAGACCCAAAGCCGAACAAGAACTTAGAATAATGGCCAAAGTAGTTTGATCGGGCAGCACATTCTGAAACTGCATCTTCCTAAATAGTTCGACTGCTCTGTCATGGCTTTCCTCTTGGCAGTAGCCAGAGAGTATAGCATTCCACGACCTAACATTAGGTTCCACTATCTTGTCAAACATCTCATGTGCTGCCGCAATGTCACCTGTCTTCACACACGCAGCTAGCAAACTGATGTAAGTGACTTCATCCGGTTCGAAACCATGTTGCTGCATCAATTTCAACATGGCTATAGCCTTTATGCTGTCACCTTTATGACCATATCCAGCTATCAAAACATTCCAAGAAACAACATTGATATTTGGCAATGTATTGAAAAGCAATTCAGCTTCATCCGTGTTCCCACACTTGGCGTACATATCAATCAGAGAATTGCCCACATGAAGATCATATTCAAAGCCGTACTTAACTGCAAGAGCTTGTATCAACTGGCCAAGCACTAACCCATGATGTCGAGGAATGCCAAGCTCATCTCCTTCAGCTCTGGCACAAGCACACAACACGCTGGAAACAGCAACTGGATCGATGAGAATTCCGCTCCTATGCATCCTCTCAAACAATCTTACGGCTTCCTCGATGGAACCACTCTGCATCATACAGCCCATCATCGCAGTGATCGAGACCTCATTTGGATGTGATATCCTGTCGAACACTTTGACTGCATCACCAGAGCTCCCACATTTTGCGTACATCCCGAGCAAAGCATTCTCCACGAATAGATTCCCATCGAGGCCAATTTTCACAGCAATCCCGTGGCACCTGCGGCCATCCTGCAGGGCCATGAGGCTGCCACACGCGCTCAAGACGCTGGCGAAGGTGAAATTGGTCGGGACGAATCCTTCCCTAGTCATCACAGAGTACAAGTCCAACGCTGCCTCCTCGGACCCACCGCGCGCCAAGGCGCCAATCATGGTGTTCCAGGACACGACGTTCTTGTCAGGCATTTGCACAAACAGCTGATGGGCTAACTCCAAATCCCCGGACTTGGAGCAAGCGGCCACAATAGCATTCCAGGAAAAGACATTCGGGCAAGGGATGGAGCGGAAGACGTTGACGGCGTAGCCAATGCTATGGCACCGTGCGTAGAGCTCGATGAGACGGTTGGAGAGGAAGGTGTCGGCGGAGAGGCCGGCGGAGAGGATGCGGGCGTGGGCGGCTCTGCCGTGGAGGTGGGACCGGTTGGCGATGCAGCAATGGAGGAGGTCAGCGAGGTGGGCAAATCTTGCATGGTTCATGCCGTCTCTTCACGCAGCCCGAAGCCGACAGCGTCAAGCTATATATATGGGTTTCACAGTTCGTAATATATTAACATACTTATAAAATAATTAGCTAAATTTACCATTCGAGATCGCGTGGCCTAATGGATAAGGCGCTCGCCTCCGGAGCGGGAGATTGTGGGTTCGAGTCCCATCGCGATCGCTAGACAATTTCTTCAGATACCTTTTTTTTTTGTTCTTTCTATATGGTATTGAGAACAAAGCTACTAAATTCATAACCAACACAGCAGAGGTAGGGAAGAATATTTAGAGTATTTGAAAAAAATAACAACATGAAATGAGAAATTAAAAAATGAAAGCATCAATAAAAAAAAAAAGAAGAGATTTTTCAGGAAAATCATTTTTTTATTTGCTTGGTTTATTTATTTTGGTTTATTTATTTTTTATTACTACCTTTCTGCTTTTTCTCAATATCCACAGTTTCATTTTAATTTATCTCTTTCTTTTTAATCTGCAGCGAGAGAAAATTACTATGTCAGCTGGTGATTTAAATGATATTAAAGATTATTTTTCTTATTAGAAAGTTTTGATGATTATACTCTTAAAGCAAAGAAGGTGACTGAATGGATGGATGGCTTTAGTTTTTTCTTCATTTTTTTTTGTTTCTATTTTGTTACTTTTTTCAATCTCCTGCAATTTTATTATGATTTCTCTTAAACATTTTAATCTTCTGGAAAAGAAAATTGCTAAATCATTCAATGTTTTATAAATGGTATCAAAGACAACTTTTCCTTACTAAAAAATTGTGATTATCAGGCAATTAATCATACATTTTGGAATCCAACAAGGTGGCCAACTGATTGGTTAATCATGCAAGAATTAATACATCCACATGTTTTTTGCTTTACTAAAAAACTCCAGCTACAATTTTAATGATGCAAAGTGACAACAGATGTTAGATTGCCAAGGAAAAAACTGCACCCAGCAGCATAAATAAGATATCTGTACAGCATTATCAAAATTAGTTACTATGATGGAGTAATGGAAGCAGCAAAACTCATCAAATCAGGAACTACACTTTGGATGAGTTAAGTGAATGAATGCATGGATCATGTGACACACAAGAAGAAACAGAGTTGCTATAGATCAGCATGCCCAAAGAAGTTTGATACCAAAATTTGCAGTTTCTTGCTTGATGTCAACTGGATGTTCAAGGCGCCTGTCGATTATTTCTTCGAAACTAATGGGAAGAAGATTAACCAGAGAGCCAACAACGGCAAGTTGATTAGGAAGAAGAAACAGAGTTGCTATAGATCAGCATGTCCAAAGAAGTTTGATACCAAAATTTGCAGTTTCTTGTCCAGGTGAGAAAACCACTGCTTTACTGGTTCGATTTGGTGAGAATGACTAGTGTCAACTGGATGTTCAAGGCGCCCATTGATTATTTCTTCGAAACTAACGGGAAGAAGATTAACCAGAGCACCAACAACAGCAAGTTGATCAGGAAGGTTGCTTCTTCCCTTTGCATATGTATCAAGCAGAGAAGATAGCTTGTTTCTCAG